GGGGTAGGGCAGAGGGGGCTGGGATCTGGGCGTTTAGGGAGCTGCCTGCCCCGGGGTGGGGATGGGACGCTGAAGGGCGGGCTGAGTAGGCCCCCACCTAGGCCCGCGGGAACCGCCCCAGGGTGAAGGGCAGGGACCCCCAGGGCCTCTCCCTCCTGAAGAGCCCAGGCTGCTCTTGAGGAAAGAGCTCATCCTGAGAGCAAGGCCAGCAGTCGGTCCCCGCTGTGAGCAGAGGGGCCGCGCCGTCCGCGGGATGCCCGGCGGGGAGGAGGGGCAGGAGGAGCAGGACCGTGAGACGGGCGCCTCGGATGTGCAGGAAGGCGCCTGGGTCCAGGAGGGTCCCCGTGGGGTGGCCGCGATGGGACGTTGGGCCCCCCATACTGGTCAGCGCCAGAGGAGTCGGTATTTTTTCCACAAACATTGAGCACCTACTGTGTGCCCGGCCTTGTACTGAGCTTTAGGGTTTCATAGAGTCTGGGGGGCGGGGGAGGAGTGGAGAAAGCAAACTCGGGCGAATTCGTTCATCTTCTCCTGACAGCACCTAAATGTTCTGAATTTACCCCTCAGCCTCGCCACCTGTCCCTCATTAACCATTACTTCTCACAGGTGGCCTGCTGCACTCCTGCTTCCTTAAATGTTTAATCACTTCCACGTGCATCTTCCGGGTTCCCAGCCCAAGAGCAACTCCTAAAGGCGGGAATGGAGCTTTTTACTATTTTTTTAGTTTCCCTGGTCTGTCCCATGGCTGATAATCAGTCAAAAGTATCGATTACTCGTTGTCTAAACTTCTAAACTCTTTACCCCTGATTGTCCTGTCTTACAATCTGTTCAATTCCGCAAGTTTCGGATCCTTGAGAGGAGCGAGTCACAACTAGAGAAATTCTCCATATCTCCCCCCATCCCCCCTGCAGAATAAGTCGAGATTTCTTCCTCAAACTTGGCGGACGTGGCGGGAGCTGGTCCCCAGAGAGGAGGAGGCTGGGGGCCCCACGGAGGAGACCGTGGAGGACCTGCTGGGCCTGGTCTGCAGCCCCCAGTCGCCCTGGGCTCTGCTGGAAGGCTCCAGTGCTGAGGACCTGTTCCTGAGGCAGCTGGCCATCCGGAAGCCCCAGATGCTCAAAGAGGACTTCCTGTACTCCTACTTCAGGTCCCTCCAGGTGGTGGACAAAGAGGTGAGTGCTGGCAGCTGGCACCTGCACGCTGGCATACAGAGGGGACAGAGGGGACGCCAGGAGACCACCCTCCTTCCAGCACTTAGTGATAAGACGGGGTGTGAAGTGTGTGGGGGTGAGGATGGGGTTAGCTCTGCCCTCCTAATTAATCTCACTGGCTGGCCCACCCCGCAGAGCCAGCTGCTCCCTTGTTCTGTGTTGTATGCCTTCTTCCTTCACCCCGGCTGGAGTCCACTGTGGGTCTTAGCTGATTTCTGGAGCGCCCTGCAGTCCACCCTTCTGGGTCCTAGTAGAAACCTTCCAAGTGTTTATATTGGTTTTACTTCATTTCAGGTGTGGGGCCCAGGGTCAGGGGAGGGGCATAGTACTATAGTAATTCCTGTCTCTAAAAAGCCTTCTTTGCTTATATCGATAACAGAGCCCGAAGCTTGCATGGCTACACAGCCCAGGACTCCCCATTTGCTCCTCCTTCCCTAGAGAAACTGAATGACACAGTGCTTGGGGGATGAGGAGGGAGAGCAACCTGTTTGCCTGGGACTGGCCCAGTGTTAACGCAGAAATTTTCATGTCCCTGGAACCCCTCGCTCCTAGGCAAGCTGGCATGGTCAGTCACCCCAAAGAGGCCTAGCCAGGAAGCTCCTAGTGTCTGAGGCCACAGGGAGCTGAGGACTCGGGCAGGCTCGGCAGCTCTGACCCTGCTGTGGGAACACCAGTGACTTCTAAAGACCTTAGGGTTCACCGTGGCTCCAGGGTGCACAGCAAGGATGGACTTCCTGCCCTCAGAGCTTACCGTCCAACAGGGGACACAGGACACTGAGCCGGACACTGTAGGCATCCACAGTCAGAGGAGGGGTGAGGGTGGAAGAGGTGAGGGTCCCCACCACGCCCGACACGCCCGCATCCTGGCAGACGAGGCAGGATAGGCTCTAGGAGCAGAAGGGTGGGTGCTGGGTGGGGGCTCTGTGCAGCTGGTTAAGTGGTGCCATCCTCACATCCACAGGTTTCTGCTCCAGCTGAGCTCTTAGCTTCCTTCCCTTCCTTCCCAGGTGAGCCTGGTGGATAAAGACCTCCTGAAATTCCCAAAGCTTGAAGAGTTGGTACTGAGTGCCAATCAAATCAAGGAGATCGATGCCTTCAATCTGCCACCAACTCTCAAGGTAAAGCAGCCTGCCCCTGCCCCAGCCCTGCCCCATACACAGAAGTCTTGGCACTGTGGCTTTTCTGAGGTGGCTCAGATTCCTCAAAAGTGTAATTTCCATAGATGCAGCAATTCCCTTCCTAGGTGTGGGCTGAAAGATTTGAAGGCAGGGACTCAGGTTCTTCTTCCTCTTCCTCTTCCCCTTCCTCTCCTCCTTCCTCCCCCTCCTCTTCCTCCTTTTTTTTTTTTTTTTGGTTAATCTTCACCCAGGATATTTTTCCATTGATTTTTAGAAAGAGTGAAAGGGAGAGGAAGAGACAGAGAGAAACATCAATTGGTTGCCTCCTGTACATACCCAACCAGGACTGGGGAACCTGCAACCAAGGTACATGCCCTTGACCGGAATCAAACCCAGGACCCTTCAGTCCGTGGGCCAACGCTCTATCCACTGAGCCAAACCGGCTAGGGCTCAGATTCTTGTTCGCCAATGTTCTTAGCAGCATCATTCATGAGAGCCAAAGGGTGGAGACCACCCCAGTATGTCAGCAGGTGGGTGGGTAAACACAGTGTGGCCTCTCCCTCCACTGGAATATTATTCAGTCATAAAAAGGAGTGACCCTGGCCAAGGAGGAAACTTAAACATTATGCTGAATGACAAAGGCTAGACACAAAAGGCCACATGTTAGATGATTCTACCTCCATGATACAGAAGAGACGAATCCATAGACAGAAAGCACATGAGAGGTTACCAGGGGCAGCGGGGGTGGGGGGTGAGGGAGTGGAGGGTGGAGGGGTGGGGCAATGGAGAGTTGTAGCTTAATGGACACAGAGCTTCTGTTTGGGGTGATGAAAACATTTGGAAATAGATAGTAATGATGGTTGTATAACAATGTGAATGTACTTAATGCCACTGAATTTTATGGTTAAAATGGCAAATTACGTTAAATATATTTTACCACAATAAGATCGTTTAAAAAGGAAGGGAGGCTAGGCTTTATCGTGAGTCTTAAGCTCAGCATATCAAAATGGTCTCAATTTGATCTTATTTTAATTTAAATTTTACTTTTCAATTACAGTTTACCTTCAATATTTTGTATTAGTTTCAGGTGTACAACATAGTGGTTAATCAATCATATACTTTACAAAGTGGTCCCCCTGATATTTACAGTGCCCACCTGGCAGCATACTTAGTTATTACAATATTATTAACTATCTTCCTTATGTGGTGATTATTTTGTTACTACCAATTTGTATTTCTTAATTCCTTCAAAAATGGTCTCAATTTTTTAAAAAATTATTATTTTAAATATGTTTTCACTGATTTCAGAGAAAGGAAGGGAGAGAGAGATAGAAATATCAGTGATGAGATAGAATCATTGATCAGCTGCCTCCTGCACGCCCCCTACTGGGGGTCAAGCCCACAACCCAGGCATGTGCCCTAACAGGGAATCGAACCTTTGGCCTCTTGGTACATGGCATGACACTCAACTGAGCCACACTGGTTGGGCAAAAATGGTCTTGATTTTAAATCAAAAGGGACTGAGAACTATAGCTCAAGGCCATGCTCAAGAAAACACCAGGTGAGATCTTGGAGGCGAAATACAAGAACTCACTGTTTTCCACCCAGGGCCCCTCTGGCTTTCCCAGATGATACTGAACCAGTTGTGCTGCCTGCTGCTCAAAATCCAATAATTAAGAGACAGGGGTCCTAGCCGGGTAGCTTAGCTGGTTAGAGTGTCATCCTGATACACCAAGGTTGCGGGTTCGGTCCCCGGTCAGGGCACATACAAGAAGCAACCAATGAATGCATCAATAAGTGGAACAATAAATTGATGCTTCTCTCTCCCCCTTCCTTTCTCTCTCTAAAATCAATAATTTATTTGTTTATCCTCACCGGAGGATATTTTTCCATTGCCTTTTTAGAGAGGGAAAGACAGAGAGAAACATCAATGTGGGAGAGACACATCGATTGGTTGCCTCCTGCACAAGCCCTGACCAGGACCTGGGCTGGGAAGGAGCCTGCAACCAAGGTACATGTCCTTGCCTGGAATCAAACCTGGCACCCTTTGGTCCGCAGGCCGGCGCTCTATCCACTGAGCCAAACCGGCGAGGGCCAATAATTTTTTAAAAATAAAAGAAGAGACCCGGGCCGGTGGAAGGAAAATAGGTTTATTCAAGAACCAGCAGCCTGAGGAGATGGGGGACTCGGTGCAGGCAGGGTTTTTATAAGGAGAGAGGGAAAGCAGAACAGAGAGATGGGGGGCGGGGTGAAAAGTTCTCTACGGGCAGACCTGCACGGTCCATTCTGATAGGATGTCCACACTGGTCAAGGGATGGCCTGATGTGCGTCATCATGGCTCTAAGGTGGAAGGTCAGCAGATCTCCCCGAGCTGGATGCCTGAAGGTCAGAGTCAGCTTCTTTTGAAGTTGGTTCCTAGAATCCTTATACAAACATGCTGTTTATCTGTAAGATCCGTGTTAGTCAGAGTCAGCGCTTTCGAAACAATGTAAAAAGATTGTGGGGGTGGGTTACACAGAGACACGTGGCCAAGTGCTGTGCATGTCCCCTCCCACGCTCTCCCATATCACCTCCCATTCCAAATTTTAAAGTTTCCTTCCGGGAAGGAATATTTTCTTCCCGGGCTTTCATAAGGGGGTCAGGTGGACAGGGAGACGTGGCATGACGGATTGGTGCTTCCTCTGCAGAGTTTCCGGGACTGGAAGGACGGGGTGCACGGGTGGTGCTCGGGACGGAAGGACGGGGTGGACGGGTGGTGCTTGGGGCGGAAGGACAGGGTGCACGGGTGGTGCTCGGGGCAGAAGGACGGGGTGGACGGGTGGTGCTCGGGGCGGAAGGACGGGGTGCACGGGTGGTGCTGGGGCAGAAGGACGGGGTGCACAGGTGGTGCTCGGGGCGGAAGGACGGGGTGCACGGGTGGTGCTGGGCTCACAGGTGCCCTTTCCGCCCCTGCAGGTGCTGGAGCTCTACGGCAACATCATCACCAGCATGAAGTGTCTGTGTGCTCACCCTCCACCAGGCCTCCAGCACTTGGGATTGGGCCACAACAAGCTTCTGGGCCCCCTGCAAAGCATGTACATCACCTCCCAACACTGGTAACTCCGGAGCCCCCAACTGGAAGCGAAAAAGGGAGAAAGCATTAGATTTGGACGCTGAAAGGGACCCAGCTTTCCTCTTTTCTGTAATAACTCCTGGTTGGCTGCTGGCTCCAGACATAAAACTTCTTTCTCTGATTCAATTTAAAACACAAAAAAACAACCCACAGAGGCCAGGAAAGGACACCGAGAGGTGGTGGGAGGAGGTCAGGCCTTTACTTGGGTGCCATGCTTTAGAGCTGGCTCCCGAGACCAAGGCACTGTAGACATTTGGGCTGGAAAATTCTTCGTGTGGGGCTGTCCTGGGCTCTGCGGGAAGCTGAGCAGCACCCCTGGCCTCTACCCAGTGGATGCCAGTAGCACCCGCCCCACACCAGTGTGACAGCCAACATGTCCCGATAGGGCCAAAGGTCGGGTACAAAATCGTCCTGAGCTGAGAACTCTTGGTTTGACTTTGTGTCCTTGGTGGGTGAAGAGTGGGAAACCCGAAACCCTGCACCCACGGAGGATGAGGTCAGAAGCCACGATTCCGATCGCTCCTTCCACTGACCGCAGCATCACGTCAGGGACGTGGCCCAGGAACGAGACGTGCACTTGGGCTTTAGACTTGTACCACAGACAGAGTACCAGGTTTTCCCACCTTTTATGTGGAAAATAAGACTTACCATAACCTGGGTAACCTGTTTAACACTGAGTGTAGATTTCAGGAAAACCTATAAACCTCCCTTTCACTGTTTTGAAATGAAAGGGAAGGTGTGACTCCCTTGCTGACGCTCCCCTGGTTCTGTTGAAAGGCTGCTGGGGGTGAAGTCAGCATGTTTCCCATGACTGGCCGGCAGCATCCTGGGCAGGACAGGACGGGCCATAAAAGGAGGGAGGCGGCAGGTGATCGTGAGAGATGGGGCTGAGGAGGTGACTCCCTATATTTATCTCGCCTCTGTTCTCAGAGCTGAAATCAGTTTGCTTTCTAGTCTGCCTGGTGGTGAGGAAACCACCGTGCCCCCGGCCTGGCCCTCCTCCCAGCCTCCGCCCTCGCTGGCGGGTTCTTCTGCACCCACGGCCCCAGGAGACGAACCACAGGGCTTCCTGTGATTAGTTGCCCGTCTGGCTTTGGAAAGTGTCCTCCAGCTTCCAGGCCCCTGTGTTCCCTCCCCAGGTCCCCATGTTACCTGACACTCCCCCCCCCATGGCTCCTCCCACAGGGGCTTCCCTCCCACGTCCCTGACAGCTGGTCAGTCTTTGTCAAAAACCTTCTAGGGGCCCCGGCTGGTCTGGCTCAGTGGACAGAGTGTCAGGCCTCGGGTTCAATTCTGGTCAAGGGCACGTACCTCGGTTGCAGGCGCAATCCCTGGCCCTGGTTGGGTCACATGCAGGAGGCCACCCATCGATGTGTCTCTCTCACATTGATATTTCTCCCTCTTTCTCTCCCCCTCCCTTCCACTCGCTCTAAAAATCAATGAAAAAAATATCCTCGAGTGAGGATTAACAACAAAGAGAGAGAACCTTCTAGATTCACAACACTATATGGTTCCACGAGAGATACCGAGATGATTAACCTAGAGGAGAGGCTGTGTGTCCATAGGAGTCGGGCAGAGGCGGGAGGTGACAAGGCCCGTCTGTGACCTGTGAGGATGGCAGGACCGG